GCCCGCTGGGGGCCGGCGAAGCGGTCGCCAGCCGGGAAGTGCCGCCCGGCGTGGCCTGGTGAGCGGCAGCGTGTCCGGTTGCGCTCCTTGGCTCCGGCGGTCGTGTTTTCGGTGTCAGTAAACAGGAGTGCGTGCGGTCACGCTTCGCTCAGCAAGCTGGGTCACGCTGCTGGGTAGCGTGTGCTTTACCTTTGCACTGGGAGAAGCGTGGAAGGAAGGAGGGGGCAGAGTTTATTCCAGCACGCTGAGGTCAGGCTTGTTTTCCCTCTTTGAGCAAGAACAGACCGGCCCCTGGAGTCGGGTTCTGCAGCCGGTAAACAAAAGGCTCGTTTCTGCGGAAAGCCAAAGATGGTGCTGTGTGCATCTGGAAAGCTGCTGGGTTGTTTTTTCCCTTGCTGCAAACTGTTCCTCGTGTACTAACTGCCAGTTCCAAAGCCTCTGCAGGAGAAAGGACGAGGGGGAATGGTTTTAAACTAAAACAGGGTAGGTTTAGGCTGGATATAAGGAAGAAATTCTTCACAGTGAGGGTGGTGAAACACTGGAACGGGTTGCCCAGAGAGGTGGTGGAGGCCCCGTCCCTGGAAGCATTCAAGACCAGGCTGGACAGGGCTCTGAGCACCCTGATCTCGTTAGCGGTGTCCCTGCTCGCTGCGGGGGGGTCGGACTAGATGACCTCTAGGGGTCCCTTCCCACCCAAAACTTTCTGTGATTCTGTGAAGCTGACAGTACTAGTTGTTAGCCAATAAAAAACTCAGTCCAAACCAAAAATCTATTCAGAATGAGCTGGGGGTGGTGGGGTGTCAGAGGGCCTGGGCAGGGCTGTCGTGTGTCGCGACAGGGTGGGGGTATCCCCAGCTGCAGTGTGGGAGCCGCCCAGGGATCGCCTGCAGCTGCAGAGATGTCCGCTGTGGTTCTGGAGCAGTCCTCAGATAGTAGGGCCTGCAGTACACCTAAACAGCTCTTAAAACAGTGACTGATTTAAAATTTAAAAAAAAAAATTAAGATTGGCAGTCCAGAAACCCCTGTGTTGCTTTAAAACAAAAGGAAAGAGAGGGCAATCAAGATGACCGGCGCATTGTCGAGGTTCAGGGAAGACTGATACAAATAAAAAATAAAGAGTGTGCGTGTTGTCATTTCAGGCTTTCACTGCAGTTACAGCTTCAAGACTTCGTGGATTCGGAATGTAGATGTGATTTTGGGTGGCTGGTCTTTGAGCGAGGTGTTCAGCTCCCTCCTGCAGCTTGGGGGTGGTGGCTGATGCCTGGAGCAGCTTGGCATTTGTCAGCCCTTACAGAGTACCAGAGGCACTTCAACAGCTGCACGTACTTCACAGGGCCAGGCTACTTGCTATTTAAATCTGTTTGCAATTTGGAAGCCGTAACGATGTTTTTCATGCTATGTAATCGTGTATAGCTGGAAGCGTCGGGAGGCAGTGGAGTGGGGGCTGCAGCTGAAGGCTGGCTCCGTGCAGCCTGTGATTTCCAGGGCCAAGTTCATCTTCTTCAGCAATGAGCAGGATGTGGGGAAAATAATCTTCATGCCTTTGCCTTGTACAAGGCACCCTGTCCTGCGTGGAGAGGGCTGAGGAGCACGTTGAGGTGCTGAGGGCTGAATTCCCCGGACTGCCCATGGCAGCAGCCCCGTTCTGCGGGGGTCCATCGCCCTGCCCTGGGGTGAAGGGGATGCTCCTCGGAGCCAGGACCAGGGGGCCTGGAAAGCGCTGCTCCTGAGGACTTCTGCTCCTGAGGACTTCTGTTCCCGTGTTCCTGGTGGCCTCGCGTGCTGGCAGGACCTGCTGGGTGCTGCTGCACTTCTCTCGGCCCCACCGCCCTGTGCGTGCTCCTTGCCAGTACCGTATTTTGGGAGGGCTTGACAAAATCCCCCGAGTGTCGGTCCTTTTGGGTTTGTTACTGAATTCTGCGTGGGGATCGGACAGGCCTGTGCTGCTTTCGCAGGAATGTCGGCCGTGAGCGAGGCCCCAGCTCTGGCCTTTGCTGTTTTGGGCCGGGGGAGCACGGGCCCCTCTCCGCCGGCTCCCCCGGGGGCAGCTGCCGATGCGTTGCGGGGTCCGGGGCTTCCTCGACGCACATGTGGACGATGCTGGGGAGACTGCCCGCCAGCAAAGGGGACGTGAGAAAGCTGCAAGCAGCTTGCGGGTCCTGGAGGCGTGGATGGATCAGCGGCGCGGGACCGGGAGCCCTGCAGGGGCCGGTCGCAGACCCGGTGCCGTTTGCTCTGCCCGGACGCGTTTATGCTTTTAGCCCGTGCTCCTCTTGGGTCTCTTGGTCTCCTAACCCAGCGCAGGTTCTTCTGTTTCGTAGTAAGGCTCTTCCTCTTGCTCTCACCTTCACGTTTGTGTGGATAGCTGGCATTTGCCACCCTTGCTTGGAGTATGTCATTTGTGAGAATTGCTGTTGTAAACAAAAAAAAAAATTTGATTTAAAAATGATTGTTTTGGCAAGAGGGCTATTCCTCACCCTTTGATTTACTGAAATCTGGAGAAGATGGAGGTGAAAGGGGCAAGCCAGGCCACGGCCTAAAACCCAGTGGAGAGTAAATGACGTAGGTTTTACTCCTTTAAAAAAAAATTTTGTTTGTGTTCAGCCAGTAAGTGGAGAAAACAAGCGGGGCTGGATTTCGGCTCAGATGGATTCTTGGAATTCGTCCATGGCTCTCACTCGCAGCAGCCTGGAGTTCAGTGTGGGAAGCGGGGCTGGCCGGAGGGAGGTTGGGCAATGCCTTCCTGGTAGGCAGGAGGGGGGGCGTCGCGCCGAGCCGGGCGGCGTGGCCGCCCCGCCGAGCCGGGCGGCGTGGGCATCCCGGCGGGCGAGACGGCTGAGCGCGCCGTCGGCTTGCTCGGGGGGTTGGTAACGCTTGCTTAAGGCCAGCTTATTCCTAGACATTTTTTTTTGTGCTTGTTTCTTGAAAACTAAGCTTGCCAGGACGTCCGTGTTCAGCCAGAGGACTCTGCTGGCTGCTTCACTAAAACACTGCTCTGCACCAGTTTCCCCCCCGAGATACAAAGGTGCAAACACCTCTCCCCCTGCTGCTGCGGGGCACTGACGGTCAGCGTCTGTGGGCTGCAGACTGCCGCGAGATCCGGAGCAGCGTATGGGGGTGAGCGCTCGTCCCGTGGCTGTGGCACGCGTTGTCTCCAGGGTCGGATGCCACACGGTCAGATCCAGTGTCTGAAACGCACGGCGTGACCTCCGGGTCGTGCGTGTTGTTTATAAAAACAAATGAAAATGGGTTCCCGGTCAACGTGTGTCTGTTGTATGCCACAAAATAAAGATGAGCTTGGAAACAGTATAAAATTCAATCGGCTCGATGCTAATTTCAAAACATACCTGGGACATGGAGTTCTTTGGTATGGAAAACGTGTCGGTGAAAACAGACCACTGCAGCGAGCACAGTGCCTGCCTATTGCGGTAATTAGCCGAGTAAATATTGCTGTAAGAAAATTGCAGGCAATGGAGTAAAATATATTATTCCAAATTGCAACTTCATTAATAACGCACCATCTGTTTGGTATCGGTGGTAAACCTCCTGAATTCCTGTTTGCTTTCCAGAAGGAATCGTAACTGGGACCCCCGGCAGCAAGCGCGCCCTACGAGACGTTGGCCGAGACTGCTCCACTGCAGTAAGAAGGTGAGCGAGAAGAACTCTGCCGCTGTGCAGGCTGCGCAGTCGTTTCATCGTTCATTACCTTCAGCTGACGGTTAGGTGTTACGCGCTGCAGCGGGAAGCGCCGCGGCAGGCAATGGCGTTGCGGCGTCTGCCCAGCTCCGGTCGCTGTTGCGAGGTGCTCGTCGTGCTCCCGCCCGTCGCAGACGAAGGCTGGCGGTTACTCGCTGCCCACGTGGAGCCACGTTCGGCTCGTTATGTAACAGCAATCCACCTCCTTCATTAGGGAAGAAGATCTCCACGTTCCAAAGGCGACCTGTCCCTCTTAGTCAGAGGGTGCGAGGGGTGGGGGGAGCCGCAGGGGAGCAGCAGGCTTTGCCTGCCCTGGCTGGATGGTGAGGTTCCGTTGCCTTTTTTACCTGCCTTTGCTGGAGCATCTGCACGTGTTAACCAGCAGCACAGGAACAGGAGGTGCTGGAGACGGTGGCTTTCCCATCCTGTGGAACAGCAGCTTTGCTCTCTGCTGGAACATGAGGTGCTGCAAACGCCCTGCCTGCTCCCTGCCCGCTAAGCAGAAGGGTCAAGGTAGAGGCGGGACGTTCAGCGCCCGATTTAGGTGCGTGCCTCGCTTGTCCTCTGCCGTTTTCTCTCGTCGGTGCCCGCACACTGATCCCGCTGAAGCTGGTACTGTCTGGAAGTCTGTGACAACCGCAACGATTTTTGTCCCTTTTACTGAGAGCAGCTCTTGCAAATCACCTTGTATCCCATTAAAATTGTTAAATCGTGGGTTCCAGTCTTCCCTATACAAACAATCAACAGTGAAACAGTGTCTGGTAGTGCTGACTAACAAATCTGATAATTAGTAATCTCCAGTTAATGAAACAGCATGGTGATTAACGCCTCATGACTTTTCTGTAGAAGAAATAAGTTAAATCAGTTGTGCAGTTTCAAATTGCCCTAGAGCTTTGTGTGTCTTGGAGCACAGAATCAATCACTGGTATTGTTCTAGAAGTTTTAGACCAGTTTGTCCATTTCGTTGATATTTTCCCTGTGTGCCCCCAAATACAATATTTAAATTTGATTTAAACTGGAATGATGCCCATAGTTCACCTCGTAGTAAGCCTCGCTGACCTTGCTGCGTAAAGGAGATGGGGCACGTTGGGCACGTGAGCTTCGGTGTGCCTGGAGGGAATGACGCTGAGATGGAAGCGCGGCGTTCGGTCCGCTCCGCGTTTCCCCAGTGTCTTCCCACCGCTGCCGCTCCCAAAGTGCCTTCTCGCGTCGTTCTCCTCCGAGGTCTTGGATCTGCTCTGCCGTACGGGTGGCAGCTCGGTGGCACCACGCAGGACGCGGTGCAGTTGGGCCTAACCGCGTCCCGTTTGTCCGGCATTGCCCTGCTGCTCACCAGATGCTGACTTCTAAGTGCAGCTGCTTGTATGAAATACTTGGAAATCTTTGCAGTTGGCTTTAGAGACACGGTGTCTGTTGCTGCTTGGAACGCTCGATAGCTGGAGGTTTCGCAGCAGGATACGAGCTGCGCTACGGCAGAGCTGGTGTCCCCTTTCCCTGGTCAGCTCCATCTTCAGCTCCTATCAGTGTGATACTTGGCACGAGTGCTTTCTGGGGAGCCTCAGAAGTCCCTTGGTGCATCAGCAGTCCTTTTGTGCAACCCTATATTTCCTGTCCCATGTGTGAGATACCAGCAAGGTAAGGGACTGAAGCTTGGTGAGATGACAGACCCGTAGCTGAGCACAGGGTGTCTTGCTCACATCCTTCTGTTGTCCGAGAGAGATTATCTTTAGATCAAGGGTGCTGCATTTCAAAGAGGAGCAGGAGCGTTGCTTGCTGCTATTGGTGGCCGCGTTGGAATTGAAGGGGCAGGAGGCTGAGCGCATGTTTTGGACCTCCCCGTTTTCGGGAGGCGTTCGACATCGCCGCTGGGGCTGTGGGGAGAGGTGGGTCGGGCTGGTGCTGCTGTGGGGCAGGAGGAGAAGCTGGACCGATGGCAGACGGTTGCTGTTCTGCTGCGGTCGCTCGGAGGAGTTGAGGTCTGCGTGGCTCCAAAGCCAGCGGTGCTGCGTTTCCATGTCTCGCAGCAAGGCTGGTGGGGTGCAAGCGGTGGCTGAATACACACCCGTGTGCCTTTTGGGGGTCCCAGCTCCGAAAACCCAGTTCAGGGGGAAAACCGGGGCGCGGAGTCCCTGCCTGCAGCGGGCTGCTCTCGGCTGCAGAGGGCTCTGTTCACCCACCGAAGCCTTTGGGTTAGCTTAAATTGGAAGGCTGTTGTTACGCCGTGGCCTTTTACTGTTGAATAATGTGTATATATTATAATAAAACAGACGGCCGCGCTGCCGTCGCCGTGAT